CCGCCGCCCCCGGCCTGCCCGCCGCCCCCTGTGGCCCCATCCCCAACAGCCTCTTCAACGACTCCTTCACTCTGTGGTACCAGCGCAGACCCGGAGAACGCTATGTCAAGGGGCCTCTCGACCGCACCGCCATCGCCTGGTGGACCGACTACCACGTCAAGTTCCGCAACCCGCCCCTGGTGAACGGCAGCCTGAAGCTGGCCTTCAGCGGCACGGCGCCACCGCCCAACTGGCACCGACCGGTTTACAAGCTCAGTCCAGATCCCAACAACACGGGCTTCATCAATCAGGACTTCGTGGTGTGGATGCGCACAGCGGCGCTGCCCACCTTCCGCAAGCTGTACGCGCGCATCCGTCAGGGCAACTACTCGGCCGGCCTGCCCCGGGGTGCCTATTTTGTGAACATCACCTATAACTACCCGGTGCGCGCCTTCGGCGGCCACAAGCTCATCATCTTTAGCAACATCTCATGGATGGGTGGCAAGAACCCTTTCCTGGGCATCGCCTACCTGGTCGTCGGCTCCCTCTGCATCCTCGTGGGCTTTGTCATGCTGGTCGTCTACATTCGCTACCAGGACCAGGATGACGATGACAACGATGACGAGTGATGCTGCTTCCCAAAGACCCCTTTCTGCTTCTTGGCCAAGCCGCTTTTTGCGGTGGTCCTTTGCTCCTTAACACAGCAACTTCGAGCTCACCGATTGCCTCTTGTGGACGAAGGGCCTAGAGAAAGGAATCACCTGCTTCCTCTTTGAGATAAGACAGTTTTCGGGTTTTGGACTGTACAATGCCAGAAATTGTGATTTCTCCCCATCCCCTTCATGGCTTACCGAGTTGACATGTCAGGTCTATAGCATTCCAGAGCAAAGGACGCGGGATGTATCTGAACAGAAACTAGTTAAGACCAGCAGCCAGCAGTTGGATCCTAACTCTAAGATTCTGTTCCTTCAGTAACACGGATTTCTGGGAGGGAGGTATAGATGACTAGAGAGTTGAGATGGAGAGTAGTGCCCACTGATGGCCTACAGAAACTTGGAGGAGTGGGGAAAGCATATTTGTTAAAAATTTAAGTCGATGAAAAGCGTTGAGCATTTCAGGTTCTGACCCAGGAAGGCCAGGATGGGCAGTCTTCACTGAAAAGTCTGCCTTTCCTGAAGAGCCTCTGTGCCCTTGAATTTGAGAGTCTTAAGCCAGGCTGGGCCTGAAGCACTCACGTTTTTCCAGTAATAATCTGTCACCGGGAACAGTGACAGTTTCAGTGCTCAGGTTTGGTCTTAAACATAGGAAGCTTCCAATTTGTGGAATGAATGAGAAAAACTGCTAGCTCTAGGAAAGTAGCATGCAGATCTATAGGGCAGGAGTGTGCCAACTCGTAATTAAATGTAAAAGCAGACTTCACAAGACACTGTAAAAGCTTGAAAATGCAAGGCAAGTCTGCGCGGTGGGGAGGGGAGGGGGCAGTGCACTGAGGTGCAAATGATCTTAGGAGGAAGCTGTTTTCTTGGGACCCTGAGTGTCTCTTGCCTCTTTGATCAGTCACTCTTGAATCGTCATCTTTTTTTTTTTTAATGCTTAAGGGGATAGTTTAATTCGTTCATATCATTTTCATGAAGAACTATCTTAAACACAGTTTTAATTTACTCACAAATGAAATCCATTTCTAGTGATTATGTTTAAAGAATGCCAAGGGCTATATGCTTATATGCAAAGTAGACTCAGGATTATTTCAGCCTTAATGTTAAAATCATTCAGTCATTTTATTTGATTACCCACAATAGATATAAAACTATATGAATCCAGGTACAATAAAGGGACGTTTTTAAACTTTAAAGCCCTCCTTTTTATGTAACAATAACATAAAAGAACTTTAAAATTTCCCATGATACCATCTTCTAGGTTCCCTGAAGAAAACAGCTCCTTGGTATTTGTCAGGGTCTTCTGATCCTGGCTCCCCAGTGCAGTTAGTTTCAGGTTATAGGTGTATTTCATTCCTCAAAGGCAGTACACATCTTGAAGTATGTTTTATTTTTTTGGCAGTCAAATGTTGAGTTATATTGAATAATTTTCATCCATTACTTTATTCTTTTTAGTCGATACTTGTTTTGAATGCACAACATGTCTGTCTAAGATTGTCTGGGTCAAAAGTGACTTAAAATAATCTTGTCTCATTTTTATGTATATCAGAAAATAATAATTCCAGTGTGCTGGCTTTCTGACTTCTGGAGGTGATAACATTTAATATTGGATTACATACTGTGATTTTTGACTATGAAAAGCTGATCATGACATGAATTTTTAGAAAGTTTTATTTATTATGAATGCTTGGTTGACCAGCTCTTCTGTGTCAGCTAAGAGAGTTTGCTACATTTTTTTTTCACTAGATAGTTGAAGGTAACTGTATTTTGCTACTATTTGTAGAACATTAGTCTTTTGTTATACATTTTAATGTGAGACCATGAAACTTAAAGCCCTGTGATTAAATTGTAGTTCCAGGCCTTGTTTCCTAGGTTTTTGAAAGAGAATAAAGGTTGTGTTTGTCTTTCTCCGTTATCACATTACTTAACTCTCTTGAACTGTGGTCTTAAAGGCACACACAGCACCAGCCGCTTGCCTCATGTTACTAGCAGAGTTACATTGTAGCTGCAACATCACCTTTCTGAATAAGATGCAGTCAAGGAGAACTCACTCTTTGGTTGATAACTTGTTTAGGAAGCAGCATTTGAACCCACATCAGCACCCTGTGTTTAGAATACACGATCTTCAAGTATTGTTTAAATTTGATAGATGGCAATCTCTCTTAAATTTTAGTATAAAATGTTATTAGGGAATGTGATGATAGCAGCCCTGCCTCTCTGCATTTTACTCAGACTGTAAATAATAATTAGCTGTTAGTGCTTGAGACTGCAAAAGAGCTGAAAGTTTAAAACCAAATTGTCAGGCCTTTGCCTCAGGGACCTCTTACTGTGCAGCATTTTTGTCCAGTATCAGGATTCTGATTGATTGCATCCTCATGTGTTTCCCAACTGGGGGTACGTCTTCCAAGAGTGAGACACAAGAGTGAACCTCAGCAGTTGGACTAGAAATAAACTTACCTACTTTGTGAAATAAAGGTACAAACAAAAGTGTTCAGTGGGATACCCACCTCCATAAAAAATAAATAATAAAAAAGAAAGAAAAAAGCTGAGGTTTCCAACATGTCCACAGCTGAAGTCACTCAACAATCTGCTCACTAGGAAACTGTTTAAAAATTAAGCACAGACTTTCCTTTGGAACAAATGTTACTTAGTAGGATGTAGCCACAACTTCTCTGCCACACCAAAGGGTTCTTGGTAAGTCTGTGTTATCAACCAGCTCCTTATATGAACTTGGATAAAAGTCACCAGTCGCTATAAATAAAACTAAATTCTTTTTTTGTTTGCACTGGACATTCATTTACATCCAACATTTTGGCTATAGGTAAAAGACAGTTCATTTTAGTTGGCAATTAAAGTTTTCCACCCAGGAGAATTTCTCTTAATTCTCTCTCAAGAGTCACTTAAAGGGACTTCCCAAATCTGACTGAAACTCATTAAGGCTCTGAAGAGATCTCACATGACAGCCTTTTCACCTTGTAAAGAACTGGCTACATTTATTTATTTATTTATTTATTTATAGCAGTTTCCCAGTTGCTGGTGTTGCACCCCAGTATCCTTTATAATTTTCCCATTAAGAATGGCAGTATGAGCCGGGCGTTGGTGGCGCATGCCTTTAGTCCCAGCACTCAGGAGGCAGAGGCAGGCGGATCTCTGTGAGTTCGAGACCAGCCTGGTCTACAAGAGCTAGTTCCAGGACAGCCTCCAAAAGCCACAGAGAAACCCTGTCTTGAAAAACCAAAAAAAAAAAAAAAAACAAAAAAAAACCCTGTTTTGAAAAAAAAAAAAAAAAAAAAAAAAAAAAAAAAAAAAATAGCAGTATAGCAGTATGTGTTTGGGAGAACTTACTGCACTGCTCTGTCACACTGTATGAAGATAGCCATCATCAGTACCCCTGATGTTAGTGAGGGAGGTCTCTAGGACATGCCAGCCTTCCTTCAGTTAGCAAAGCTGCTCAAGCACAGAGAAAACTCCTGTGTAATAAGAGCAAGTACACACTGGGGTCATAGACAGGAAGAGGCGAATGGAAGGAGAAGGTGACCAGATATATCCCTAGACTGACAGGGTACCCAGAGGGACCGGGTCAGCAGTGCAGCCAGCAGCAAAGGAAGTTGTGCAGAAGACAAGGCTGGCTCAGCTGCAGAATCCACTAGTGCCTGGGCTTTGTGGAGATGCAATGGGTGAAGAGTGGCTCGCCACCTTCCAGACCCTTGTCTTGCTGATCAATTTGAGTGCAATTTATCTTTTCTTTAGAAGCAAAGGTATTGTTGTCAGGGGCCTTCATAGCCGTGCCCTCCACACTAAGCTCCCATGGTGAATGGCTCCTTACATAACTAGTGACAACTGTAAATGATGTGTATTAATACTGACATTTTGTTTTTCTTAAAGGGCTTTGCTCTGGAAGCCCAAGGTGCTTAACTCTGTGTGGCCTCATTCATCTTATCCATCAGAATGCCTGGGCTTCTAGAAAGCTATCAAGACCAATGGGGTAGAAATAGATTATTTTCTATTTTTTTTCTATTTGGTTCAAAATTATATATATATGCAGTGCCGGCTGGAGACATGTCTCAGTGAGTAAAGACACTTGCTGCCAAGTTCCATTCCAAGGACCAACACAGTGAAAGGAGGAAGCTGACTCCTTAAAGTTGTTCTCTGACCTCCACACCAGAGCTCTTGCACGTGTATGCCCACACACAATGAATAGGTGTAAAAGTGTTTAATTAGTATTACTTAGAAACGAAAGAAAGAAGCCTAATACTGAGTGAAGTTGTGACAACCATTGGAATGGATTACTTAGTTATTTTTTTTTAATTATTACATCTGCTGGATGGTGGTGGCACGTGCCTTTAATCCCAGCACTTGGGAGGCAGAGGCAGGCAGATGACTGTGAGTTCAAGGCCACCCTGGTCTACAAAGTGAGTTCCAGATCATCCAGGACGGTTATATAGAGAAACCCTGTCTCACATTGCACGCACGTGCACACACACTGATAACATTTATTTATTTGTGTGTGTGTGTGTGTGTGTGTGTGTGTATGATGCATGCTCGAGAGCAAGTGTTCACAATCCACAACACATGTAAAAATCAGAGGACAACTTTCAGGAGTCATTGTTTTTCCCCAGATTTATCTGGTTGTATGTGTATGAGTGTTTGCTGGCAGGCATGTTTATGCACCATGTACAATGGCTGGTGCCTGAAGTCAGGAGAAGGCATTGGATCCCCTGGGACTGGAGTTATCAATGGTTATGAGCTACCATTTGAGTGCTAGGAATTGAACCTGGTCCTCTCCAAAAGCAGCAAGTGCTTGCAACTGCCAAGCCATCTCTCCAGTCCCTCAGAAGTCTATTCTATCTTTCTACCATGTGGATCCTAGGGCTCGAACCCATACCATCAACAGCACCCTTATCTATTGGTCTGTCTTGACATCTTCCCAGCTTCACCATTTAAAGGAATTAATTTTGTTTTGAGATAATTTC